GACATGGGGTTGGGGGCTGGTTAGGATGGGTTTCGGGTCAGCGGATTCACCTATTGGCATTGGTTCGCCGCTGACGGAGCCCCGGGATTTGTCGGTCATGACAGTGGGAGTGGGTTGTTGTGTTCCCAAGTGTCAGGGCACACCCCACCTGACCCCGCACTGTGCCGCCCCACTCCGCTCCCCTGCTATCACTCCCTGTTCCTCCTTTCCCCTTTCCTTCTTTCTTTCTATTTCCGTTCCATGGTCGACTTCCCCTTCTCTATGTATTACTACACACTTAACCCCGCTCCCCCAATCACTGCGCCCACTGCACGCATTCCCACTCGCAGAGCGGCACACCTCCGGGATCTCCCACGGAGATACCCAGGGGAGTGCGGCTGTGTGTGGGGATGACGTGGCTCCTCCCATGTGACCCCAACTGCATGTATATAATAGCACCTGGGGTGGGAACAGAAGAAGCAGCCTTCTTCTCAACTTCCCACTTCAGACTAAGTGGTCGGGGACGCTCACCCCACAACGGGACCGCCGCTACGCATAGCCGACATCTGTCCCATCGAGTCCCTCGTGCCGGGACCTCGCCACTTTTGGAGCTGTCCCTGACACCAAGCCACTTGGCTCAGGTGTAGAATATGGTAAGTTTACCATTCTTTCCATGGGGAAGGATGGTTGCTGGCTTGTCTGTCCAGTGCAGAGACTTACATCTCTCTCCTGGTACTTGGAAGCTTTCACTTCCTGCCCTGCAGCTTTTGCAGTGCGTTCCTCAGGAGTCTTGAGTGGTTTGAACTGGGACTTCACCTAAGCAGCTTTTCCTAGACTTTCCCAGGAGATTTGTCCCCTGTTCCTGTTCTCCAGGGAATTGTAATCCTCCGCAAGTTTTGCAATACTCAGGAGTTCCAAGAAGTATTTCTTGGTTTCCTTCACTTTTTTGCAAAGGACTCTGTGTACCTTGCCACTTTTAAAGGTGGCTTCAGCCTGTTCGTACCATTGTATGAATGCTTTTCCACTCACACTTGTCCACCAAGCATATGCAGCATCGTGCACCACTTCTGACCCACTGTTCTCCTCATGGGGAAGTTGGGGCCAATTGTTATGTCAACAGGAGCTTTGACTTTGCTGAACTCGTTGAGCTCAGCAGTCTTGTATAACATGTGGACACTTCCCTGCAGGGTAGCTTGCCCATAGGGTGCTGAGGTACTCAGCAGCCTGCCACCTCTGGCAGTGGTCCCCACTTTGGAGTCTGCCATCGGTTGCCCACCACTCTCCCTTTTCCCCTCAACATGGGTTTGCCCTCCTGAGGGTGGGCCCTTATGCAACCTGGACAGGGTTGCCTGCGCACAGGGTGGCGGGATAGTCAGTGCCACTGTCATATCCATACAATCCTGACCTCCACTCTGGGCTCCTGGAACTCCGAAACTGACTCCAGAGCCCCACTTCCCTTCCATCACCTTTCTCTGTGCCGACTCCCAAGAGTCTATCCCACCTCCAGCTCCGACACCACCTTTGGTCCGACTCCAGAACATTCTGGGTCCATGTCAGGGACAGCTCCAAAAGTGGCGAGGTCCCGGCATGAGGGACTCGATGGGACAGGTGTCGGCTATGCATAGCGACGGTCCCATTGCAGGGTGAGCATCCCCAACCACTTAGTCTGAAGTGGGAAGTTGATTATCATTAAAAGGGGGAAGCTACAGTACTTACCTGAAGTGGGAAGTTGAGAAGAAGGCTGCTTCTTCTGTTCCCACCCCAGGTGCTATTATATACATGCGGTCAGGGTCACGTGGGAGGAGCCACGTCATCCCCGCACACAGCCGTACTCCCCTGGGTATCTCCATGGGAGATCCCGGAGGTGTGCCGCTCTGTGAGCGGGAATGCGTGTGGTGGGCGTGGCGATCGGGGGAGCGGGGTTAGGTGTGTTAGTAATACATAGAGAAAGGGAAGTCGACCATAGAAGGAAATAGAAAGAAAGAAGGAAAAGGGGAAAGAAGAGGCAGAGGGTGATAGCGGGGAAGCGGAGTAGGGCAGCGCGGTGCAGGGTCAGGTGTGTGCCCTGACAGTCCGAACCTCGACACCTTCCAGACAAGTATGCAACTATGCTCCCGACTCTGGACCTCTGCTCTGGAATCCTGTTTGCATCTCCATTTCAGAACTCCAGTCTTAGCTCCAACCTTGGACTTTGACCCCACCTCTGCTTATACCCATTGTATTGGTTAGCCAATTCCATTTATTTACCTTTGCCAATATTCCAGAGTTTAACTTCTGAGTTTGGACTTTCCAGACTTACTTTGGACCTTGCAACTATTGCATTGTCCCATTCAATTCTGCTATTCTCCCTCATTCCTATTTGGGCTGCTGCTTCCTTTCTATTCAGTCAGCTAGCCATTCCCCACTCCCATCCTCCTTCCTTCCTCCTTGGGCCTTGGCCCTTCACTCCTCCATTGGGAAACACCATTGAGTCAAACCCTTGACCCTCGGTGTTGTTCCTCCTTCCAGCTCCCTTTGTCTCCTTTTGGAGTACCCTTGTTCCTTTTGATTCTGGACCCCTCCTTATATACAATGTACCTAGTAACTTGTAACCTCAGTCCGAAATCAACTTGATTCCCCCCTAAGAGACTTCCCCTCTGCTAGATCTGAAATTAGGGACCCCCAGGACAACCAGCAATGGCACAGCGCTCCACCTGAGTCACTGAGGCTGAGGTCCTTCCATGCTAAGTCTCCAATTCCATTCCAGAGTCGTCTGAATCTAACACAAACCTTGGATGGCAGTCCCTCATCATAGGGCACTCATGGGTGCTACACCACAACCCAGAGGTAGACTGGGCATGACAGAAAGTCATCATGTCCTGCTGCCTGTCCTCCTGTAGACAGCTGTGAGCACGAGACAACCAAGACCCTGCACTAGAGCCTGGGGATGGGATCTATGCTGCAATCATTCCCCCTGGCTGGGGACATGACCTGAGGGCCACCACGACCCCCTCTCAGTGGATGACCCAAGCAGCCCATTGTCAGGGACACATCCAGGGTAGAAGGGGTCCAGATGTATCGCCCGGCAGAAGGGCCCCCATGGGGTGGGAACCGGGCGTGCATGCTGGCAGGTCCGGGAAGGGACAGCAGTCCCTGGCCACTTAGACTGAAGTGGAGAATGTGAGAAGAAGGTTACTTCTTCGGTTCCCACTTCAGGTACATTTATGTACATGCAGCTTGAGTCACATGATGAGTGCCATGTCATCCTCGGAAACAGCCGTGGGCATCTGGGTGTCCCTGTGGGGGATCCCAAGGGCGTCTGCTGTGTGTGCCTGTGCTGGGTACAGCAGGAAACCGTCCGGGGTGTGTGGGCCGGACGGGTCAATAGTACATTGATACAAAGGAAGGTGGTCCGTGTAGATAGAAAGGAATAAACAAGAAAAGGGAGATAAGAGGAATGAGATAAAGAGAGGAGAAGAGAGAGAGAAAGGAAAGGGGGAGAGAGGGAGGAAGGAGGAGGGAGAGGGTTGGACAGCGGGGAGCGGGTGTGGTGTGGCCAGGTGGGTCTGGGTGGACCCAGGTCAGGCAGGTGTGCCCTGACACCCATGTCACGAACACATTCCTGGGGATAGGTCCGATCACTATCCAGGCAATGCTGTCTGGTGGAGCTCAGTGTTCCTGGTCTCTGATGGTGGGTCGGAGACAGGCCGGAGGTGGGGCAGAGCTCCAAGGGTGACAGGGTGTTGAAGGGGCTCAGCTTCAGTGACTCGGAATGGAGCGCTGTGCCTGTTATGTTCTCGTTGTCCCCAATTTGTCAGGAGAGCTGGTGACAGAGGAACTGAGGCCACCAGCAGAAGGGGGCTGGAAGCCCCCCCTCACTACTTAACAATGGAGGCATTAGCAAGGGTCAATTGTTTGTCACACAATTCTTTTTGGGTTTTATACCTGTTGGAGAACAGCATGCAAGTGCAGCTGGGCAAGTTTGTACAGCTGCATTCCCACAGCCGAGCAAGGAACTCGTCTGGCTGGCCACCTAATATTTTTCACTTTTGTATTCATTTCAGACTACTCTGCTCCCAAACTATATGGGAATTCCTGTTCATTCAATTCCTTTTTCCCTCAGTTCTCTTTTGCATATTTGCTTGAGACTGAGGTCAGTGACAGTACATTCTTTAGTTTCATCCTAAACTTATATTCTGTATATTACCTTTAGTTGCCACGCTTTACTAGGTAATATAATAATAGTTCTCTTTCACATATTTGCTTGAGACTGAGTTGCCACACTTTACTAGCAATTCAATCTGCGCTCAATACCAAGGCACCCTTAGATGTGCCTGTTACTCAGCTCTTGGTTCAGGGCAAAGTAGCAGACAAGTGGGATGCAATAGACGTCCTAGAGGAGGTTTGGATTCGAGGGCTGAAGACTTTTATATTTATAACTGGGGGAACTATTTTACTGGAGGGGTACACTGTAACAGGGAATTTATCCCAATGTCACACAGGCTCACAGGGGGGACAGTAACTTCCTGCCTGCCTCTCTCAATCTCACCAAAGGTCCTTGTAGTACAGTGCTGTATAGTTGTGGCTGTGCAGTCACGGGACTACCCCAACTACACTCGCCAATGTATGTACATGAAAGAATGAAAGAGCACTGTTTTGTAGTGCAAGGGTTTATCCCTGCAACATACAGGCCTAGCTCTCGATTGCAGTCCCTTGCAATCTCCAAAAAGAAACAACAAAGAGCAAAAGAAAGTCGACCATAAAAGAAAAGAAAGTCCCAACTCCGTACAGTGTTAAATGCCATGTGACCTCTAAACCTTCCCACACAATCTCAATGTGCATGCTCAACTCCATCCTGCTCTGTACAGTCTCTCCCATCCTCACGATAAAAACCTCCTAAATCGCAGCTTTCCAATAATACCAATTTCGCCCAAATCGGCCCAGTGGAAGCTGAGATATGATGAAGTTGGAACCGTGGAAGTCACATGTGGTGCAAAGGCATGAGAAGATTCTGGTAACTCGCCCAGAACAAGCGCCTGCATGCTCAATAACTCCTCCCTCCTTTGGCACTCACTCAATCATCCAACTCAGCCCTCAACCCTCATCACATCACCACTCATCATCTGGCTCCAGCGCCAAACTACACCCAAAACTCACACTACCATGCATGCCACTGGAGAACCACCAGGCAAATGGGAGGATTGGGCACAGTAGTACACCCCATTTCCACTCCCATAACTAACCCGCATGTGCATGGTTACTAACTTTGCTCACATCGGCATGGAATTTTGCAGATCCAACATGTGATCAACTTTGCGCTCGAAAATCAATGGATTCATTGCTAAGGCCGGGAGGCCTTAGCTCTTCTAGTTTGTACTTGGCGCTGTTGGGTACTGGGCTCAGCTTGTCTCTGGCTGCAGCATTGTGCGACTCGTGCACAGGCTCGGAATCGTCATCAGAAGCGGGGAAACCGAAGCTAGGGCTGGGAGGCCTCAGCTCTTTGAACTTGAACTCCACTCTCATATCAAATACAACGGCTCGGGTTGGGGTTGCCATGATAGGCACATGCATGGGCTCGGGATCGATGTCGGATGACAAACTGATGCTAAGGCCAGGAGGCCTTAGCTCTTTTGGATTCACTCTGGCACTGTGAGTTCAGGTACGGTTGCAGCATCGTATTCTGTGCTTGGGGGACTTCAACATAATTCACGATGTCATCTGGCGACTCCAGTGCGAAAACTTGGGGAAAATCGAATAGAAAGTGAAAGGAATGTGGGTTTATTGGGTGAAGACTTGAACAAAGGTCATCTGGCTAGGGGAAGGGGTTCAAATGTCACAATATCAAGAACTAACGATGCCTCCGACTAGGGAAAACTCCGAGAAATGGTGGAACTTTGAATGCTGAAGCCATCCTGTGCCCCCTCGTAGGGTCCGCCAGGAGGACTCAGCATAGTCTTGAGTGGCAACAGCCACAGCAACTGGTGTCAACTTGCACAACCTGTGTGGACCACTCATGGATCTCAAACACGAACTGCTTCTCCTGTGCCCTATTGTAGGATCCTCCAGGAGAGCAACGATCACACACCCCTACACCTGTCTGTGGGATTTATGAGGGGGAATCAGCAATATGACGTGTTTTTCTCTTGACTCCGATGCTCGCATCTTTAGTTTGACTTGTTCCTCTTGTAAACTTTTGTGTACTCAGCATGTAAAATCGTCAATACACGGTGTAGAATATAGCTCAGACAGAAATGATGATGTGGTTTTGCATGTAAGAATAAGTGCGCATGTTGCATTTGTTGAAAAATCGTAAGAATACTTGTGAAAACTCGAAAGAATGTTGTCTGGCTGGGGAAGGGGGTCGTGAATTGTGTCATCAATGACTAGCAGTGCATCAAACTCCAACATTGCGAACACATGGTGTCCTCCTGTGCCCTATCATAGGATCTGCCAGGGGGAACAACCATTGGCTTAGTGATAACAAAAGAACTCCTGTGCCCCATCTTGGGACCACCAGGGGCGCAGCCATGGTGACTTGTGACTTTAGACTCTGGAATGCATAGATCTTGGCTTGTATTTGTCTCTTCTTGTAACTCTTGTAATCAGCGATGTAGTAGTTGATGTCCACAGGTGAATCAAGCTCAGAACAGAAAATGATGGTGATGTTGCATGAAAGAAAAAGATGATGTCTGCATGGCAGAAAACTGTATCAATCCCCCCTGTAAGGACCACCAATACTGTCATACCCGACCCCGATCTGACTTCCAGACCTCCACCCTCTTCACCTCCGGAGTCATAACCTACCGCTGCCGTTCCGATACTCACCTTTGGTCTTGGCAACCTCCTTACCCCCCACGCCACCTCTACTCCTCCTTACCTCTCCGACCCTATCTCCGTCCGCTCCGATACTCACCTCGGACCGAACACCGCCACCCTCCGCAACGCCTCCACCCTCCCGTAATCCTCCTACGCTTCCCCCGTCCGCTCCGATACTCGCCTTCGGACCTGACAACCCTCCTCTCCGCCACTCCTTCCCCCTCACCTTTCCCCTCTCTCCTCCCTCTGGTACTCCTCCACCACCCTTCTGCCAAGTTACGACCTTCCGCCACTGTCCCGTACTTCCTACTCAGATGCCGATCGTATCTTCGCTCCAAGCCTCCGTCATAGTCCCGACCTCGGACTTTGACTCCACCTCAGTCTTAGTCCATTGCATTGGTGACCTCATACTACGTAAACACCATTGCCAATATCCCTCGGACTTTCAACCCCGCTTCCATAACCCCCATAAGCTCCGCAACCCCCGAGCTTCGCGGATCGCCTTCGGCACTTTCGCCGCTTGTAATGTATCTCTCACGTTTACCCCTCATCCCTATTTGGACTACTGCTTCTTCCCATTCTAGCCAGTAGTCATCATCCCCACTTCTCCTCATCCTCCTGCCCCTCTGGGCCTTGCCCTCCCTACCTCCTTTTGGACATATCACAGGTCCTTCCTTATGACCTTTCGGTACCGTTCCACTCCTTCTTCCCTTTGTCCCCTTTCGGACGTCTTCGTTCCGATTCGGTTCCCCTTTGTTTCCTTGTGCCTTTGCCCCTTCCATTATATATATCGGCGCTTGTACATACTCATGGGTTCAGTCCGAAATCGACCTGAAATGCCCCCTAGAGACTTCCTGCTCACCTACTGTGAAATTAAGGACCAAATGGACAAACAGCAATGGCACAGCGCTCCACTTGAGTCGCTGAGGCCAAGGTCCCTCCACGCTAAGTCTCCGATTCCACTCCGGAGTCGTCTGAATCCACCCATCTCTACAAATACCACAAGCAGGCTAGAGATCTAACCCCCTAAATGCAAGCAAATTTGTAGGGAGGGAGTCTGGGATGTCCTAAGCTTGTCCTAGGTTCGGTCCAGGTGCTAACAAAACAAAAATAATCACAAAAACTCATTAAGAATTATGTACCCCTGGTCCGTCTTGGACAATCATCAAGGATTCCTTATAATACTCAAGGAGTCAAGTGAATTTCTCTCTTACTTGGATCTCTCAGCGCTACAGTCTCTTTGTAGTCAAAAGGGAGGTCACTTTTCCATTCCTATGTGTACAGAGCTTTTAAACACATGGAACAGCAATAATGTGGAAAAACAAATGAAAGGAAAAATATAAAACGAAAGATTGTTGTTATGGACACCATGTGGACCGTTAAGTATGGCTGATAAGTCCAATGGCCGATAAGTCCAATGGCCGACATGGAAGTTCAATAAAAAAAGACAGGAGTGATAAGCAGGCCATATCCACTAATAATTGCTGTCCTCCACCAATTTCCACCATCACACTACACTCATCCATCTCTTCCTACCTGTAGCATCTTTTCCCGACCTCTCCATTCAATTCCCCAGGTTCATAGCTTTCTCCCAATACCAAATCTGTCCCAAATGGTTGAGATTTGACTGAGTGGTGGGCATGAGAATCGTAAAATTGGCCCATGCACAGGGTTAGACATCCCAGAAAGTGTTCGTGAGAGTCCCCATGTCAATTGGATCTTCATACACATCCTTTGTGATTTTTCTGTATTTTTCTGAGCACTCCAGAGTGCATTTTGGTTTGTTTATTTACTTCGGTACAGCTTGTGATTTCCATTTTGGGCCGAAAACCAGTTTCGCAAAAGTACAGATCTTGGCTCCACCACATGGGACTTTCGACACCACCACCCTCACATGCCTTTCAACATTGTGTGGAACCTCGCAGTAAGATGAGAAATGGCCACCACCATTGTTCCACAACAGCTGGGCCGATCTGGATGAAATTCAGGGAATCCATAGTTATAATTTTTCTCTATCTTCTGAGCCCTTGATCGTCTTTTGGCAGCCAGTAGTGCCAAGCATAGTTTTTGGGCTGGACCAATTCAGTACCAGTGCATTATGCACAATTGTACTCCATAATAAAATGAAATAAAATGTTCTTATGCACTATTGACATTGGTAGGTGATCATCGCATATGGGAAATCCTTAAGGAACATAAAACCACAAAAATACTGGTGGTGTAAGGTATAGTAGGTTATCCCACCTACAACATGCATACATATAGCAGAGCAATTTGGATCCAAAGGTAAACAAAGGTTACCAAGGGGAAGGGGAAGTAAATAGAAAAGAATCCACAGGACAAATAAGGAATAGGTGAAAAGCCTAAATTATGTCTGAGGTTTGTGGAGTGGGAGTCTTAAAAGCCAACTGAATGGCAAGGCCTGGAACCATCTAAGAATAAGCAGGGGACTACAGAGAAAGACATCCAGAAAGGTCCAGAGCCCGGAAGTTGTAGTCCAGAAGATTAGGGTTGTAGAAAATATCAAATGATAAAACAATAAAGATTATCAAGACCAGAGGTCAGGTAGGGATGGGGAGGTACTGGAGGTGCAGAGACCAGAAGTACAAAGGAGGGTGGATAGGCAGGTTGAGGTTTACCAACAACGAGCAGGTCCATCTCCTTTGAACAGGGGGTCTGAGGAGGTGGAGGTGTGGTAGCGGAGGTCTGGAGGTGATGCAGATGTAGATGGGAGGCAGAGTGGGAGAGAGTCAAAGGAGGAGGTAGTCCTAGGGCTGTGTCAGGGCACACCTGCCTGACCCCGCGCCCCACGCCGCACTGCCCTACTCCGCTTCCCCCGCTATCACCCCCTGCCCCTCCTTCCTCACTTTTCCCCTTTCTCTCTATTTCTATTCTACAGTCGATTTCCCTTTTCTCCATGTACCACTACATACCTAACCCCGTCCCCCTGATTGCCACACGCACTGCGCACACTCCTACCTACCGAGCAGCTACCTCCAGGATCTCCCGCAGAGACACCTGGGAAGGTGTGGCTGTGCACGGAGATGACGTGGCCTCCTCCACATGACCCTGACCACATGTATATAATAGCGCCTGGGGTGGGAACAGAAGAAGCAGCCTTCTTCTCAACTTCCCACTTCAGCCTAAGTGGTTGGGGACACTCACCCTGTGATGGGACCGCTGCTACACATAGCCGACACCTGTCCCATCGAGTCCCTTGCGCCAGGACCTCGCCACTTTTGGAGCTGTCCCTGACAGGCTGTTGGCATTGACTGGAGGTAGCAGAGAGAGATTGGGAGGGCTGGTGGAAGTCATAGGAGTTGTATAGGAATAGGGCAGAGGGAGGTGGAAGATCCAGGATATGACAGCCCACATCATTTGAGACACTAGGCGGGCACAGCTGGTACCACGCAAATGAGCTGATTATCGCAATTCTACCACCCATGCACTACACTAGACCATATTTACCATTACCATTACCCCCTTTTTCCCTGACCTGTTGGATACCTATCCAGTCCCCGTCCTTTCCTGTTTGCCTGCTGGGTTAGATCCCTAGCCTGCTTACAACACTGGTGCCAGAGTGTCAGGGCACACACCCTGACTAGCCCGGACCCGGACCCACATCTGGACCCACTACACTTCCCATGCATACTTCCCATGCCACATGCTCCATGCGCCACATGGTCCGGCACCGGATCCTGCCCTCATGTGACTTCCAGGTATCCCTGGAAGTTTTCCTGATATGGTGGCCACTGTGGGAAGATGAGAAGTTAGCTTCCTTCTCATCTCCTTACCCACAGTAGTAGTAGGTTGTGCCCTGGATAAGGCTGGTTACACCAGTGGTTGTGGACCATAGGGGAGGGTCATGGGGACCCAGGAGTCGTCCCCTGACACAGAGCACTACCAGGACTTCTGGGACATGTTCTCAAAAGAAGCTTTCAACCAGCTGCCCCCCTGGAAGCCCTGGGATCATGCTATAGATCTGGTACCAGATGCCAAGCTGCCCAGAGGAAAGACCTTCCCCCTCTCACAGCTGGAGCAGAGAGAACTGGATGAGTTCCTGTGTGAAAACCTGCAGAACAGGTGCACACGACCATAAGTCTCCAATGGGGGCACCAGTTGTTAGACACTGGTCCAGGGTCGGCACTGAAGGTCGCTGTTGCAGGCTACTATAGGCCGTGATGGCCATGATGCCATGATCAAGGCCCGAGGGTAGGGCATTTGGCCTCAGCAACTCTAAAGGAGCGCTGTGCCCCCTAGCTGTCTCTTGGCCCTCATTTCAGACTTACTGGGGTTGCCTTGCTGGGGTCAGGACTTGGGGAGTCGTGGTCAAATTGATATTAGAGCTCAGGTATAATAAAGTATCATACAGGATATATATAGGGAGAAAGAATGAATGGAAGCGGACCTGGGCCGAAGG